GGCCGCCACACTTTGGCATGGATTGTATTCAAATCGACTAACTGAGAGCATTTGTATACAAATCCACTGGATTAAATGAGGTTTATCGGTGGATAGCCACTTTCACGTCGACAAAATCAGAACCAATGGCTTCAAATCGTATCCCAGAGAGCCACACAGTCCGAGCCACACCGCAAACACCAATGTGGCCGGCCCGTCACACCAAACGGGTTATGACTGCTTTTGTATTACAAAAACATCGATTTGGCATGGATTTGTATACAACGAGTAGGCTTTCACAATCCCTCTTATCTATGTTTTGGATTCCTCCTCCCACCCCTCTTGCGCTTGTGAGGGCGCGGTCGGTCGCAAAGCTCCTCTGGGGCACAGGAGTCGTGTGAGCGAGAGACGAAGGCGGAAACGTCTGTATACCATGGCACCAACTGAAAATACTATGACAATGGAGGAGAAGATGGGTCTTCTAGAAGGCTACGCACGATCTGCTGATTCTCATCCGGTGAAAGTCGACAAAGCTTTGTTTTCGCTTTTGAAGCGGGGGGAGCCAAGCATAAAGAGTTCCTTGGAAAGTCTACGTGCGGGGCTGCTTTTGGTAATAGGGGTTGACTATTTGACCGCTCCAAGTGGAGGAGTGGTCATGACGAAGGATGCCTTCAAAGGTCTATTACGTTCTTCTATAGCTGCTAGCAGAGGAGAGCAGAGAGATATAGCAATTTGGGTGCATCAGCAGTTTATGACATGTTTGTCACGGGAAGAGGCGAGGAAAGGGGTCAAGAGAAAGGCCGAGTGGGATGCTGAAAATAGGGAAGCTCAGAGACGTAGACTTCAGCAGGCATCGGCTGAAGAGTTGAACACACTGGCAGAAGAGGCCGCGGAAATGGCACGTGCGAAAAAGTGCTTGGATGAGTCTGTGGATAAGTATCTGAAGAAGGCACATCTTTCCTCGGGACCAGGGCCAAGCCAGGAGGAAGCTGAGGTTGCAGGAGCAGGTCCAGCGTCCGCCCCTTCCCGCACTGCGTCAGGTGCAGACTTACCACCAGACCTTTCTTTCTGCAGAGGCCCCATCACTTCAGTGTTACATGGTCTTATGTTCTCAAAGCAAGGGGAAAGGCACAAGGAAGGCACATCCGTTAGTGTAGGATTTCTCTGGAGGGATGGTGCTGTAGAAGAGGCCAAGCCACTGTTTGTTACTTGCACCTCTGGTTAGTGCAGACGTTTGCACACTCAAAGCAACAAACATGAGTTCACCTAAAACCAATCTCACAGGTAGACCTCATTCACTGTACTCATACATCAGATTCCTTGTGTTGAGAGCAGTCCCTCTAACAAAGCGAATAGCTTCTGAAGACTTTTCTCGCTTCATCCCAGTTGCGGTTGAGGTGGACCTACCCCGGCAGCCTGTCCCCCCTGTCAAACCCGCCCAGCTCCTCAGAGAGGACGAGCCGGCTGAGGTGGATGTACCCGGGCAGCCTGTCCAGGAGCTCCGCACTACGCCAGGTGCAGACTCATACCCAGACCTTTCTTTGCTGCAGAGGCCCCTCACATGCATCTGGCCAGTACATAAATTTGGACACTCGCAGCAACAAACATGAGTTTACATGTCTAAAACTAGACAGTCAATTCTCGCCTGCTTACGACCATTTACTTTTTGCATTTGTCGCGGAGCAGCAGAGATGGAGCGGGAGAGGTTGGCTGCGGAGGCCAGGGAGCGAGCAGCAGAGTCGGACCGAGGCGGGACGTAGGGTCGGACGTGGACGGGGACGGCCGGAGGGACGCGAGCGAGCGGAGGACG